AGAAACAAAAGTTGTTTAATGACCTTGAGCTATAAATGTGCACAACATGCTCAAAAGTGGCCAACAAGTCTGATTTAGGGGCTGTTTTGGACTTAGTCATTTTGGCTGTGTTGGAGCCGTTCCAGTTTCCTTTTACTCCTCTTTGGAGCTTTGTCATTTGAAAACCAAGCTGAATCAGTTCAGGCTCTTTTAACCAAAGTTGTAGTACTCACTTAGGTTTACACAATGGTGAAATTGGTTGATCACAAAGTGTCACGGTTTAAGAGTTAGGAGGGGGTGAAGATGCTCTGTCAGGCACCTGATGGTGGTGTGATGGCCATCTCGGTCTGGCCATCGTGGCCGACCGAGCGCAGGCTGCACGCACCAAGTGGCATCCGTACGCCGGCACCGGGCCCACCGATCAGGACGGAGGGGCAACGAAGCCGCCATGATGTGTTGCTTCCCTCGTTCGCTTCATCCACGTCGCCTCACTGCCTCACGTGAGCCACAACGGCAACACCGCCGTCGCCATAAGCTCTGCCACCGCCTAGCTCCCTCGCCACCGCACCATTGCCGCCTCCAACTAGCCAACAGCTTTGCCATCCTCTTCTCTACATCCTCGACCTAGTTGCACGGCCAGGCAAACCACGGTGAGGGCAAATTCACCGTTCTTGTCCTCGCCAGAGTCACAGTCACCATGGTCGCCATCACAGCGAGCTCGCCGCTGCTCTGCTCCCTTGCTCTTTCTCCTTTCTTCTTCACGTTAGCAATAGCTCCGGGTGTAACCTAACCTAGGGGGTGACCCTACGATGAACTATAGTCTAGCCGGAGTAGAACACGATAGCTAGCATCACCGCGCTCTCACTGCTGCACCGCCACGCACACGGACGAACCCCACCGGCGCTTCCAACCAAACCCTAGGTAGCATCGGTAGGTCCACATTGTCACCACGGAACCCTTGTGCCCCTCATAGGGCCTTGTCGTGGCTGGAGATGGCCGGCGCATCTCCATGCAGTGCCACCGTGCCGCCATAGCCGACAACAAGCCCTCTCCAGTGCGTTCGCGCTTCAACCTTCTACGCCAATCGACACGGGAGGATGAGAGGATCACGATGGTGGGGTCAGTTTCACCGGAAAGCTCACCGTCGGCGAGCTAGCGCCGATCAAACCTCCTCCCCTGTCTCTGTTCGACTGATGGGTGGGACCGCTGACCTGCGGGGCCCAGCTGTCAGCGGTATAAGGTCTAGGGTTTTAGTTTAATTAAATCCAGGAATTTCAAAAAAATTGTAAAATTCATATCTTGAGTTTTAGGAGTCCAAATTGAGTGGTTCAAATTGGGTTGTGCTCCTGGTTATGTCTAGTTTTTATTAAAAATATAAAATCTACCATGTTCTGCAGTAAATTATTTATTGGCTATTTACCTTTTTTATTCCTTAATAAACTTAGGAAATTCATAACTTGAGTTTGGTGCATGTGAGAAATGTGATTCCACTTGGGTTGGTCTTGTGTTCATATGTGTTGCCTAGGAAAAATGCTAGAGCTGTAGTGCTCTTACTGGAAATAGGACTTTGAGGTTTATTCTATTAAATGCTTTTATAATCACTACTGGCTTGTCATTTTCGTGTAGGATGTTATACATGTTCAAATGCTATAAAATTTATACAGTAGCCTATTGGGTACATGTATAAGCTACTGTAATTTTTGTGGAATTTACTGTACACTTTTTCTATATGTTTATTTTTTCACCTAATTATCTAAATCAATTAATAAAGGCGTGAAAAGAATTTATTTAGGGTTGACCACTATGTTTCCTAGTGTTCTTTCGATGTATGCTAGCTGTTGGTAACATTGGTAGTACTCAAAGTATCATTCTTGTATGTAGTGAAATATTATTTTTCACTAAAATTCACTTAGTGACTTTTCTGGACAGTTTCTAGAGTTAAGCAAATTACATGGTGAAGATGATGTTTGCTAGGAATCTTGTCTATAACAAAGTGGTAGATAACTCACTTATATAGCTTGTGTTAATGTTTTATGATATTTGGCCAAATGGTTTGTGAGTTATGACTGTTCAAAGTTGGTCTTCAGAACTAGTTGTTCTCTGGAATTTCTAGATCAGATTTGAGAAATGTGACTGTTTGACCCTATTACCTTGGGAATCATGCGGAGATGATTAAAGATGAATTGTAGCTAACTTCATAATCTTTCCAGATTGTCTTGTTGAATGTCTTTTGGGTCGGCATAACTTCAGTTATGAACTAAACTAGCAGCTGCTGTCTGCAGCCCTGAATCTGTTGAATGCAATGAATGACTTGATTGCTTTATATGAGTTGATGTGATGATTTAGATGCGTAGGCTGATTAAGATAAATTGTTAGTTGCAGGTGCTAGACCTCTAACTGAAGATGAACAACTTTATCTTAGGTTATTAAAGCTTAGTGAGTGTGTAGTTCTTATTTTTAAGAAGAGATATGCACCTACTCAGTAAAATAAATGTTAATATTGTATCATCATGTCATTCATGTGTCCATCTATACATGGCTGTACATGTCATCATCACCTTCCATCTCTTTTGCATTCATGACTCTCATGCTGTGCATATGCATGCAATAGTGTTCTAGAGGGAGTCACTCTTCTGGAATTCGAACAAGGACTTCTGGAGGAGGAGCAGCAAGTTCAGGAGCAGGAGGTGTAGGCCCCAGAAGGAGGAGTCAACGAAGAAGAACTGCTTGAGTGCCTAAATCACCAACCTTCCTCTTTTCTAAAAGGCAAGCCCCGGAGCATTCTAAGTCTCCTATGTTTTAAAAATGTCACTTTGAGTATCTTTATATGTTTGATGTATTAAGTTATAGGAGTTGGATACAAACACTTGTTACATATCTATCTCTTCCTTGTCCAGTAAATGTACCCTAAATCCTATTTAGGTCTAGGAGCGAATCAATGCTTAGCCATGCTTAGACTGGTAAAGTTAGGTGATTTCCTATCACCTGCACGATAGGATGATATCTGATCACGGTTAGCTATATTTGCTATTGTGGAAATAACCATGTGTTAATAATGAATGGAGACCGGGCAGGATGTCGATAGAGAAGCAACAAGGCATGGAGGTCTTGGGTGTGGATCTACCCCTGTCTGTGTTGGTTAAGGGCTAATTCGTTGTACATCGTCATGTCATGTTGAACGCATGACTATTACTTAGTTGGCCGGATAACTCAATCCGACAGCGAAGCCGAGCAGCTCAACTCATGCCGGAAGCCAGGAAGTGAAAGTGCACACTCTGGTGGTAGTAAGGATGTGCGGGGAGCCATTGGCGTAAGTCCGATGGCAGATTGACGTCCTAGCAGAGTGGACTCCCTAAGAGTGTGGCACTGCTCGGGCCCACGAATTTAGTTCCTGAGCTATACCAAAGGTGACCTGAGGTGACCCCTGATCAGGTTTTTTGGGTGTGTGTTAGGAATAATTCCCCAGCTGGGTAGGAATTGATTTGAGTCGCCGTCTCTCCTAGATAGAGAGAACTTGATTGAGCAACGGCAACATAGAAACACCTAATTGAACTTGATGGTTATAATGATGACGATGATGTTACAATGTTACACCAGATATGGTTACTAATGTGTGGATCCTAATCAAGTGCTTGCTTTAGTACAGGTGCTAATCTAGATCACAGGTTTAATATTGGTAACTTGTTGTTTAACTCAAAATTTAAATTATGCTCTTGTATCATTAAAGCTTTTCTGCAAAATGGTTGTCAAGCGAGATCCATCGATAAAGCCTTGCATACTCCTTGGTGTCATTTATTTTTGGTTTACGACAGGTAAGTCTAGCAGAGTACATTCTCGTACTCAGGGTTTATTCCCTCTTATTGCAGATGACGTGCTTTTATAATGGTTACTGCAAGTATTGTCTCCACCTTGCTGGTGATGAAGACTAGATCATGGGCATGATCTCCTATGTTATCTTATCATGATGCTTTTGCTGGATACGACTATGGAACTAGCTTGTATTTGAACTATGTGTGTGTGATGGTTTCAAATGACTTTGCTTCCGCTATTTGTAAACTCGTGTTGTAATAACTATGTGAACTCCGATGTATGCGAGATACTCATGAACTACTTGTGAAATGGATGTAACATGTGGCTTGTTACGTTGAATCATGTACGATCATGGTTGTATGTGAGTTGGTTTGAAATCCTTCATGGTTTCATCGGACTACCGGGTTTATATGGGTTCAAGTATAACGGTTTGATCACTCCGGTGATTGCTTTTATACTTGTGATCTTATAAATTGGTCAGTTCTGTTACACGGGGGACGGAGAGCGACGGTTCAGACATTCTGAGCGGTGACACAACATCTTTGCTGCAAATGTTAGGTTACAAGTTATTATTAAGTGGTTAGATGATTTATTAGCAATTCAATTAATAATTTAACTCTAGCCATACACTCAAACAAAGAAGTAGGAACAACCATAAGAAGCATTGAGATCCAAACATTCATTACATGAGTTTATTACATGGTGATGTTTTTAGCAGCTACACTAGAAACTCGTGGGGATTTGCACTACACGCAGGTAGGCTCCAAAAGAGGTACATTCTACTCTACTCCTAAAAATGAGTCATGTCTCATAGCCACATAGGGCTCATCATCAACACTACGACTACTACATTATTAGAGCATCACTAGAAAGCTAACTCTGACTAGGTGGTGGTGAAGTGCTAGCATCCATCTCCTGGAGCTCTGCATCGGTGCGGTGCATCCTCGAGATGTACTCCAGGGCCTCTTCCAACTGTTCGGTCTTTGGGGCCTCGGGGTAGTCCTTAGAAGGCATGCCTTTAGATTGAGCTTAGTGGGCTCAACCCGGAAGGACTCCTTGCGTGGCCTCTTGCGTGACTTAGGGGGTAGGAACTTTTGCATCTCCTTAAACTCCTTGACTAGCCTGATGTCAGCGTCAACCCATGCTTGGCTTATCCTGTCTGCCCTATCCTTCTAGAACTCTGTGTACTTCATGTACTCAATAAGGTGGTGCTAGTTGTGAGCAGTGTTAACGCTCAACTGAACCACCTCCCTCTCCAACATGTTGCAACGGCTCTCCAGCATCATCTTCCTAAAACCATACCTCTTCTCCATCTCAATGTGATCCCTCAGGCACCTCTTCTTGCGCTCGAAGGCATCCTCAAGCTCAAGCACTTTGTAGTCTAAGTAGTCATTGTGGAGCCCAAAGTCTCTAGCTTTGTCTCTCAGATCTGCAATCTCCTCCTTTAGCTTGCTCTCACGTGTCTTGTAGTAGGCCTCCATACGGTCGTAGCCCTCACGCTCCACACGGATGGTCTCCTTGAGTACTTCCTTCTTCTCTTCCTCTAGGAAGGCCTCATCAGCCTGGAACAGCATATCCTGATACCGATTGTTCTACGACTCGACCTCCATGATGTACCTGTCCTAGCAGAGGATGTACTATCCAGATACCTGAAGGTAAGTGTTGACGCCAATTTTGGCATACCCAAAAATATGTGAAAACATTTATACCATATTAAATAAAATGGTATAGATGATCAAGTTTTATATGAATATGATATAGGCAAATAAGAAATAATATAACATCGCTAAAGAGGAAAAGAAGATGCAGCAAAAAGAAAAAGGGGACACACATGTACATATATGCATGAGCGTGTTCACGCCTGGAAAGAAAATGAAACTAATGTGTGTGTGTGTGTGTGTGTGTGTGAGGTTGGCTATGAAATATAGTGCATACAAATATGCGCGATGAGTGAAGGTGTATGTACATATAGGGCTCTGAATTCTAAAGGGCGTTGACAGCATAATCTATCTATCTATCATATAAGTGACGTGGTGATTATTCAAAAGGAGAAAGAAAAAGATAATGACTTATGCAAATGTATGTGCACGTACGGAACAAGTCAGACCATGGATACTCTCATACAGCGCTACGGGAGTAAATAAGTATTATCACATGTCCTATAAATACACCCGGCCATAAATGCAAACACACTTTGCACACGCATGGATTAAAGTATGATCATGCAACGTATAGTATAGTGGTGTATATATACTACCTAGCGTGTAGCTCTACGTATGCTAGCCAGGAGATAAACCTCCCCATTTTCCTTTATTAAATTAATTACTTCAATCTAAAGATAAAGTGGCCCACAAGCCATAGAGAGGGAGCAGCAGGGCTCGATGCGACCAAGTCCAAGTCCAAAGACGATTCAAACTTCCATGAACTCCACATCCTGAAAGAGTCCTGTCCTCGCGCGCCAGAGTCATTAGAAAATACAAAATTAAACTCAAGAGCGCTGGCAACCACTCCCGCCGCTTTACCTTGACGTGATTTCAAATCATTGCTCGGCTCTATAAATATCAGGCTAGCGCAAACGTTCAGCCCCCGCTCTCCAATCAAAAGTGCCTCCAGGCTGCTGCCACATACACACATACACTCCCGTAGCAAACACCTGCCAACTTCCCACCTCAAACACAGCACCGTCCGGCTGCCTTTCCACATCGTTGAAGCATACACCGGAGGCCCCTCACAGGACCGGCCGGCGGAAGCAGCTACGCTCGTTCGTCGGTGCCCTGAACAAGGTGGTGGGAACCCCAGTTCTTTTCGGACTCTCGATCTGATCATCAGAGACGAATCAAGGAGCCCCGCTCCTGTCTCTCTACTTCTCTTTCTGATCTGCGGCAACTTCGTCGACAAGCTTCTCGTCCTCCATTCTGGTAAACAGGGCCAGTGAGGGTGGTGCTCCATACATGGACATCATGCCCTGGTGAAAGGTAAAAAAGCTGGTGATGGCCAGCTGCACTGCGCGCATGGGCTACATGCCCCGGTTAAAAATGAATGCATTGTGAATATGGGTCTCATGCCCTGGTAAAGAGTTGGCCAGCAATACCACGGCCACATGATGCCTGTGGGTCTCGTGTCCCGCTAAAGATGTAAGAGGTCCACAAATGTGCCTCGGTGAAATTTGGGTTTGGACGCGTGTTGGCTCCATCCCCGTGGTTGAAATTTGGGAACGACGTGTTTTGGCTCCGCCCGGTCGTTCATGGTCAAATTGGTATGGACACGATTTGGCTCCATACCCAAACAAATATGCATATGTTTTGGCCACGGCCCTGCCGCCCTATTTTCATACCGTGCATTAAAGAAAACAAATAAATTTTATGCTACGGCCATAAAGAAAGTTTGTGTGCTAGTTTATATCAAATCAAAGAAATAGCCATATGTGCACTAGAAATTATGCCAAAAGAAAAGACAACCATGTACTGCAAGTAGAAATCTTCAGTCCATGCATATGCAATACGCCGGAAGCACTGCTAGCTGCCAGGCAATTTCCGGCACAAAATCAATCATCATTTCCATGTTAAATATTTTAAACAAAAGAAAGATCAAATGCATTGCATGGTTCATCTCCAAACAAACCCTTTTGCAACTTAAGGTTGCATCCTAGTATACTGCATGGCTAGCACCTGCTTGCACGTAATAAAGTATCCCAGTATACTCCCTCCTGCATGCATGTGTGCTATTGTTTGCCTAGGCAACTGCACAAAATATAATATGATGCCAAATAAGTGATCATATCCATGAAAAATAATTCTAGCAATAAATCAAATTAAATAGCATCGTATATATGCTAATCCATTGCCAAAATACATTGCCATGAGCATTTGCACCTTCTCTTGATAAAATAAATCAACCACATCAACCACGGCCAATCCAGGGCTGCATTAACCCCAAATAAAATATTGCAACACATGATGAGTGCATCATACACTAGTAGAGAACAGACCTTTGATCCTCGGTCAAAATGGGCTCTAGTCCCAGAATTTTTTGCCCCCAGGACTAGAAATACCTTTAGTCCCGGTTGGTGATTCCAACCGGGACTAAAGGTCCCTGCCCAATGGCTACTGCGCCAGACAGAGGTGGCAGGGACCTTTAGTCCCGGTTGAAACCACCAACCGGGACTAAAGGTATACTTTTACTCCCGGTTGGTGGCTCCAACCGGGAGTAAAGGTCTACTCCCGGGCCGTGGCTGCGCCCGGGGTTAGAAAGTTACCTTTAGTCCCGGTTGGAGCCACCAACCGGGACTGAATGTCCTCCCTTTATTTATCGGTCGTCTCCTTCTTTCTCCCCGAGCCCGAGCTCAGCACATTTTGAAGCTCACTGCACTAGTGTTCTTGCTTCCTCCCTCCCTCCATTGTTCCTCCATCCATTCTTCGATTCCTCCGTCGATTTCTTTGATTCCTCCGTCGATTCTTTAGTTGTAAAGGTTATCAATCTCATACTCTCATTTTTCACAATTGTCTTATGTCATTTTGTTCACTATATATATATGGTTCTTTATTGTGGCTTTTTTCATTTGTAAGCAATTTGAGCTCAAAATCGCTTCAAGCTTGCATATTTACATGAAAGAAGGTTAAAGTATATATAAATATAAACTTAGAAAATAGTTAGAAAATTATAGAAAATCCGTACTAGTTGAACTTGCGGACCGTGTTCATCTCGACGAGCATGTTCTCTGCCGAGCGGTAACGGACGTCAAGGAGGAGCTTTGATTCTACGAGGGAGAGCGACAACGGTCGTGGAAGACCGTGTTCCCTTCCTCGTAGAATCAGAGCTCTTCCTTGACCAAGTACGGTGCCGTCCGGTGGAGAAATGCTCGCCGAGATGATCATGTAAGCAAGGTCAACTAGTACGGATGGTTATTTATTAAAACATGTTTTTGAGCTATAATGTATTAAAAAATAAGTATAGAGATCTAGATAATTTTATAGTTTCTTAATTTTATTTGTTTATAAAAGGAGAAATTTATAGTGTATTAAAAATGAGTATAGAGAGTATATGGCAATCGCTTAGGGTCTCTCGACCTCTCATGGGTTTCCAAAGCGACTTAGGCCGGGCCTCCCTCTCATTCCATGCGGCAAGTGTCGTGATGAGACGAAGATTGTGATGGAGTACCGAGTGAAGAAGGAGGGTCCCAACAAGGATCGTATCTTCTACAAGTGTCCAGGATCGCAATGTGAGTTATTTTATCGTATTTAATGATTATGGTTAGTTTATACCTATTTTCATGATGGTTGTGATTAAAGTTCTAATTTTTGTTTTAATTTGAGTGGGATGGCGGTGGGCGATGTTCGGGCTTCTCTTTGGGAGGAAGAGTATGTTGAACTCGTGCAAAAATATCTTGTACAACAAGCGAGACACTGGTGGCTAATGAGGCGGTGACCCAGCCGAAGAAGCCCAAAGATGTTACACAATCGGGGATCATGCATTTTAGTTGAGATTGGTCGTGAAATCCTAGTGCTACTAAAATGTATTTTAGCTTTAGTTCTTTTAGTGGTAGTTGGGATTGTCTACATTGTAGCGATGCTTTCATAAATTTGTATCTTTTGTGGTGGCACGCATGTTGTATAAATAATTAATTATGATCTAGGTTTTAATATGGTATTTATGTCATGTAATGCGATGAGCCGTCATTGGATGTATAATCTTGATGATCGCCGCTCCCAAGAGTTCATTGACGGCGTGCATTCTTTGTTACACTTGTGCCGAGGCAAACAAACGCTGACGGTTTCATGTCTTTGCCCATGTGCCATATGTAAGAATACGGTGGAATATCCTTGCTCAAGGACTCTTCATTCACACTTGTTCAAGTCGGGTTTCATGCCAAACTATATTTGTTGGACAAAGCACGGAGAAACCGGTGTTGTAATAGAAGAAGGTGAAGAAGAACAATGGGACGACAATGATATTATTCCCGATGGTGCGTGCTTCAATGATACCGCAATGGGAGAAGTGAAGAAGAGGTAGCCACGAGAAGATGAGCCGGTGATGATCTTTCTCGGGTCATTCGTGACGCACAAAGAGAATGTGAAAGTGAAAAGGAGAATATCAAGTTCGAGCGGATGCTAGAAGATCACAAGAAATTGTTGTACCCAACTTGTGATGCGAGGCGAGAAAAAGTTGGGAACCACACTAGAATTGCTGCAATGGAAGGCAAAGAATGGTATATCGACAAGGGATTTGGAGAGTTACTAAAATTCAAAAGAAGATGCTTAGAAGGACAATGAATTGCCCGCCACTACCTACTGAAGCAAAACAAGTTGTATACGTCCTATGGGGCTAGAAATAGAGAAGATACATGCATGTCCTAATGATCGCATCTGTCATGCGTGGCAAAGAGTACGAGAAATTGGATGCATGCCCGGTATGCCATGCGTCGCGGTATAAGATCAGGTGAGATGACCCTGGTGATGTTGAGGGCGAACGTCTGCGGAAGAAAATCCCTGCCAAGGTTATGTGGTATGCTCCTATAATACCACGCTTGAAATGTCAGTTCAGAAACAAAGAACATGCAAAATTGTTGCGATGGCAC